GTGATGGTGGTATGATGTTGATGTTGTGGTGCTGGCGATGTTGGTGGCGAGTGACGGTGGTTTGTGACCAATTATTTGGTTATTTGTGACCAAAAAATTTTATAACTTGTGATTTAAAAATAATTTGTGACCAAATCTGTGATGGACAAATAAACTGTGACCTAAAAATTTGATAACTTGTGACTTAAATATTGCTACAACTTTAAGGTTGCAAACCCAAGTGCAGGTTGTCGCAAGTAGTAAATCTCGAAAGTCCGAGGTCGAACCACAGGGATTTGGAAGGAAATAAACTAGTCTATGAGTAGTGAACGGTTGGTGAAAATACGATTGAGACGAACACTAGAGCGTCGGGGATTCACTTCGGATAAATGAGTAGAAATTGCACTTGATCTTTAATTTAACTCATATGAAAATCAACTAAGGATTGATCTCATATGGAAGATAAAACATTAACCACAAATATACTAAAAGATAGATCTTGATAATTGTTTGAGAGAATATGTCAAAATAAGTTGTTGGTATGTAGAGATTATCTAAGCATTTATTGTGCCAAAATTGTCAACAATAAATCAAAGTCTTTAACAAACCAAAACCATTTGTAGAACATATACTTCAACCAAGTAAGAAGATGAACATTGAAGAACAAAATGAAAGATCAAAGACAATACTAAACATTCATCAAAGTTTCACCCCTAGCTCTAGCTAAATGTTTAGAAATACATAGTGAAATGTTACAAAGAAAATGAAAGAAACTAGAATATGATGGAGAGAATTGATGCTTCAAAATCGTGGCCAAGGTCCCCTTTTATAGGCAAAGGAACATCCAAAATTCAAGTAGGCAATGCAACTTGTTTCTATCCAGTTTCAAGACAGCTGAAACATGCAACTTGATGTCAATTTTCAGATACATTGTGCAGCGAATTTGGACTTATGATCAACAGATAAATTATTGCCACTTGAGTTAGCTTTCCATTGGTTCAAATATCAGGTTCATTGGATCTATATAACTCCAGATATGACAAAAACAATAAGTGCTGCTTCACAGGTAAAGCTGTATCCGGCAGGTAACAAGCTGGACTTTTCACGATAATTTTGGCTGCCTTATGATACGAATTTGACTTCTTCCAAAGCATGAAAGTTTTAGAGACGTGCCTTATCTTTCCAACCCAACTTGAATCACCTCGATCCAATGTCTGTAGCTCAAGTTATGATTAGTTTACCGACAGCTACTTCTTGCTTGAGGCAGTCACTATTTTTGACTTTTCAACATTATTTTCCTCCACTTGCTCCACTTGTAATAAATTGGAAATACATGTGAAATACATCAAATAGATACTCTTTCAAATGTATAATACTCATGCCGCCATGTATGTAAATACGTATTTCAATTAATTGCATTTTTAACCATGTATTTATGAAAATTGAATTTACGGCATGAGAATTGGAATTAGAGACTAACATTAGCGTTTTTAAACAAAGTGAATGTAAAATGTCTTGTAAATGATATGTCTTTGAAGAACTTTTAGACACTAATCAAATATGATATGTGACCAACTAATTTGAAAATCTGTGACCGACAAAAAAAATTGTAACGTATAATATATTCAATCTGTGATCGTTGAAAAAATCTGTGTCCAATTAATTTCATAATATGTGCATTGTGACCTTTAAGTACGTATATGTGACCATGAATTGTATATCTGTGATCTTAATATACTTGATTAATAAAATATTCTTAATTAATTAACAGAAATTTGATTTTTGCATTTTAGAACTTTGGGTCTGATATTTGAAGTAGCCATACTTAAAGCCTGGTTTATGATTTTTTTTCCCATATTTTAATTTATAAAAAAATAGCTCAAAAAGGTCCCAAAAAATTTGGTCCGACGCCTGCCAAAGATTGTAGACAGTGTGACCCGATAAATTTTACTGCTCCACTTTTAAAGAAGTATAAAAATAAATAAATAAATTTTCACTGTAGAATCCATAGCCGTTGAGAGGTCAAAAAAATATGTGTTGTTGAGATATTGACGAGTGGAGTGGGACAGTGACGTGCCAACTATACACTCAAGTCTTAAAAGTACATAGTAATTATATCCCCTCGGTATGAAGTCTGAAAATACAAGCAAAGTTTGCCTCTTTTTTTTTTTTCATTTAAATTTAGGCAGCATACCTGTCGCGTGAACCCTTTTGCCTTCTTTAGTACTTTGCTTTTCCCTTCTCAAATCTTCCCTCCCTTTTCAATCAAAATTCATATCAGTTTGGTTCCCATTTCCATCAGTTCCACCAACCCATACCCCACTATTTTCTTGAATTTTTCTTGATAGCATGAAAATAAGCTAGTAGAACTGCAAGGCAGGCCATCCCTATTCCCCTACCTATTCTCTTGTTGACCAGTTGAGTCTCGAAAGCTTCGATCATTTCTTGGTTGCACCACTTTTCTTTAAGCCTCAATTTGTTTTCCATTATTTGGCCATTAAAATAAAAAATATAACCGTTATCAATCACATTAATTCACCATATTTGAATTTCTATATTTTGTATAGGCCCGTAATGGCTTCATTTTTCATTATCATTTTTACATTAATAGGAAACAAACGGGGCCTAAATCTTACCCCCATTTTCAATCAAATTTTATATCAATATGGTTACAATTTTCTTGAATTTTTTCTTGACAAAACATTTCTTTCATCAGTCTTCTTAGTTACTAGATTCTAAGGTGTGCTTATTTTTAGCATTCAGTGAGCGCTATGTTTTATTATGCATAACGTTCCTTTCTAATTCTTAGGAATGATACCCCCACCAAACCACACCCTATCCTACGCCACCCCGGTATTTTCTTGAATTTTACTTGACTGAACTTTTCTTCATTGTAGTCCTTCTTATTACAAGATTCTAAGGTTTAATTGTTTGTTGCATTCATTGCTATGTTCTGAATCATTCTCCTTTCGTGATTCATGTATGAATGTCTTCTAGCTCCATACCTCGCTTTGTCTGTGATTTCATTTTCCGCACTTCTGAAAGGGGCTATAAATTCAATTCAATTCAGTGTATTCTTGCTTATTCAGAAGGGAGTTTCTGAGTATAATGGAGATTCCAAGCAATAAAACCATATCAAAAATGGAAGATTATGAAGTAATAGAACAAATTGGAAGAGGATCTTTTGGAGCTGCATTTCTTGTTCATCATAAAAATGAGAAAAAGAAGTAAGGATTGCCTTTTTATTTTTCCTCCCTAAATTTATTTTTATATTTTTATCTTATTTATGATAGATCATCATCAACGTAAAGCTATTTTTCCTCATTGATATTTATTTATCTTCATCATTTGCATTTCATCATGCAATTTAGCATAAATTAGAAGTGTTGAACAATTTCTGTATTTTTTTTCCTCTCTAAAACTTAAATAGTTAAAGAGAAAACACCTTTATTTATTTAAATTTAGCTTCCATGAGGTCGAATTCGTATTTACTAAAAGAATGACAAATAACTAATTTTCATAAATGAGTGGTAGTGAGACTTTGACATAAAACTTTTGTCTTTTGATATCGAGACATGTAGCCTATCGCAAATTTATTGTGAGTGAGGTTTATTTTGTTGACGTTGTTGTTGATGTCCCCTTTTGATATCTGCTTTCTGAATGTGAATACAGGTACGTTTTGAAGAAGATTCGCCTTGCTAAGAAAACTGAAAAATTTAAGCATGCTGCCCGCCAAGAGGTGATTCTTCCAAAACGAGTTCTCTCATTTACTATTACTCTTTCCATTTTTCACAGAACATAAATTATTTCCAGGTGGTTCATGTTTAGCAGTAATTCGGTATGACATACGAGGAAATGACTACTTTGTTATCTATTACAAATTCATATAATCACTACAAATTCATGTGTTACAAATATGTTTATTATTTAGTAGCTAGAGGATACCTCGTAATGTTGTGCAGATAAACCACAAATGATGGATAGCAGCCCAAGTTAGGAAGATAAAAAGAATCAATTTTGTGCAATATATCTGCTAATACATACTTAAGACGAAAAAATTAATCGTCTTTCAACTTGATTCTTCCATCAGATGGATTTGATGGCGAAGCTAAATAACCCCTACATAGTTAAGTACAAGGATGCATGGGTCGAGAAGGTATACTAGCCAACTGAATTTTCATTGCTAACACTTCCCTATACGAAGCCGGTATTAGTCAGTTCATTTGCCTCTTTAAAATCAAGAACTAAAAAGTTAACTATAATTTAAAAGATTGAATCCATATTATATATCTTAACGAAATGGAAATGTTTATTATGATGGACCACAGGACTGCTGCGTGTGCATTGTGACAAGTTACTGTGAAGGTGGAGACATGTAAGTAGAGTTGAGCTTATTCGAGCATTTTAACTCTAATGACATGTTTGGTAAGGTGAATTATAATGGACAGTATTGTCTAGTTCAGTACTCCGTACCAAACACATGTTGACTGTGCCCATGTCAATTTTAACCTGATTTTTATATCCTCTTTTAACCTTAATCGTCTTCCTATACT